CCCCCTCCCATCCCCAGTGCCGGTCCTGCAGAGCGCGGAGCCTGACGCTTTCCCACGCGTGCCTGCCCTGGTTCTCCAGCCCGGGCCTCCTTCCTTCACCGGAGAAGATTTAAGCCCGTGATTTACAGAAGACATAGTTCTGCCCATGGCTTCAAGATTATCCCTTAACCCTACCCTGGCAATCCCCTTTCCTCCACTTCACAGCAGAACTGCCTCAACAGGCAAAGCTGGACAACTGTGTGATTCCCTGCTGGGCGCTGCTGCCTGGCTGAGCCACGTGTCTCTGGGCAGCCCCTCTCCAATCTCCGACTTCCATCAGGCACTTAGAGCTTCATGTTCCTCAGTGGCTATCGCAAAGGGCCAGGAGGTTCCTCTTGACAGAGGAGAGGGGAAGATGCTCCAGTGAAAAGGCCCCTTGGGAAGCCCTGGCCTCCATCTGATTAGATACAGGCAACCCAGGCCTCCAGGAGCTGCAGGTTAATCAGTTAATGGCTGCAATGATCCTCGGCGATGTGCTGTGCAGGCCTCAAGGGCAGCCCCAGGCGTGCAGACACCGAGGGGCTGCCGCTCCTTCCCCACTGGAGGCAGGATCTGGGAAAACATCTGCTCTGATAAAGAAAGCGCTTTATGGGGGAAGGGGCAGGCCCGAGCCCATTAGCTGCTCCACCACTCCACGACAGCGGGCAGCTTCACGGGCCTGCAAGATTCCTCATCATACACGGGGCAAGGCAAGGGCGAGACATTGGGTTTAACGGTCTGGAAACCCACTGGGGACGGGAAGTGTCCGATGTGACTCTGGGACAGGCCAGGACCCTGGCCAAAGAGCTCACCCAAGTCCAGCTGCCAGGACGGCACCTTCACCCTGCAGAGCCATTGCCGCACACCAGCGCCTGCGGGGTCGGTGAGGGCAGGGCTGCCCCAGTCTCGCACGCGCCCGCTGCGGGAGAAGACTCCTCCCCTGCGGAGCCAGCACCCGGCCAGGCCCGAGCTGTGTGTATGTTCAGGGAGAGGCAACCCAGGACGGCGAGGCCTGCGCAGCACGGGGCCACGTGCCCTAACGCTGCACCCCACTTCCCCTGCGAGCAGCGGGAGGTGCAGTGCCCTGCGCAGCACCCAGGGAAGGGTCCTTGCAGACACGCTCAGGACCACTGCTTCCATCCAGCAGGAAGGCGCGGGGCTCCGGGGCGCCCGCCCTGCCCACCACCATGAAGGTGACTGGTCAGAGGCGTTGTGGAGGCTGAGGAATCAGACGGACGCTCGCTCACATCGCACGCTTCCCGATGCTTCACCAGCTCAGCCTGGCCCCGTGCCACGTGCAGCGGGCTGAGCTGTGACATGCACACACAGGCAGGGGCAGGCTCTGGACCCTTAAGTCGCTCCAGGGGATTAAAGCAGCATGCGAGCAGTCTCTGGGCAGCCATGACTATCATGCGACAAATCCTCTCTGCTCCTTGCAAGCAGCCCTCAGCCTGAGTGGCTGGAGCTGCACATCACTGGGGCTCTGCCTCTTGCAACACACCCAGCTCCTCACAAGGGCTCCCAAATGCCACGCTGGGCCCGGAGCGCACTCAGAAACAAAGCAGTCTGCA